ACTCATTATCTGTTACAAATATTACGTAACAAGAAGTAGAGTAGCAAACAGGTGAAACGCTAACTAATCGTAAGTGATGATTACAATTGCATAAAAGTAAATAATAACTTATCGGCACTTTTAAAAATTTATCTTTCGATGTCTCTAATAAAAATCTCTATTAAATAAATAAATTAAAAAAAATACCGGACAAAAGGTACTGTTTAAGGGAATTTAAACATTATAAAACATCTCAGTGACAATTCTCATTAAACAAAAAGTAATCAAACATTAATATTTTTAATTTAATATATTTGTCGAGATATTTTTGTGTGAATAAGTAAAAAATCAAACATACCGAAAAACTCCTCCCAAGTATCTCCAACATCGTCAAATTCATTCATCATTATTGGTAAAGGTAGATTAATTAATCACTGAAAGTAATGTCTTAAATTCACATAACGAAGCATTTGCACTTATTTATTATGAGACGGAATCGCTCGCAAATTATGACAGTTCGTTGGTCTTGAATTTTTTATCAGATTATTATCATCGAGCGGCATGATCGAGAATTTTTAAAGAACCGGAGAGGCGCCACTAAAAGACATCCGCATACCGCAACAGCCGACGACAGAATGCCGATGAAAGAAATGTGCGCATACGGTCGACGCACGCATAGATCTTGGATACTTGCTTCTGTGTTGCGATCTATTATCTATTTACAACTAATAAAAAACAAATGCAACGTTTGTTTACGGAAATACAAAGTGCCGTTATTATTATTTATAATCGACGTAACCAGAAGGATATTTGTAATTTACATATTAGCTAAATAGGTACGGGTCTTCATTATTGAATGGTGTAATTTTGAGAGAACCGATTTAAAAGTACATAGTTTGAAAAAAAAAAGCCTTATTTCTTATTGAATCCGAATTTATATTGTAGGTCATTATTTATTGAAGGAAATATCTTTTGCGATTTCTTTCTTATAAAAGTTGTTCCTTACAGGAAATTTTGAATAGAAGTTGGCGCGTTTTATTAAACCTGAGTACCAACCTTTACATTCAATATTAAATAATCTTTAATTTAGGTCCTTTACATTCGTTTCTACATTGTCATTAATTATATTGATTTGAATTAAAATTTTAGCCTAATGCGTATTTATTATATATCTTAATAAACATTTAAAACATTTCAATTATTTCTTTACGTTGTCTACATTGACTTTGAAATGTCAGATGTAACTTAAGAAGAAGAAGTAACTCTAACCTCGTTTTATTAACCTAATATATCCGTAATTTCTGATGTAATTACGCCGGTAAAGGAGCTTAATTAGAATGTCTTCTTATAGAAAAAATAATGATAACAAAATGTTGGTGCCTTGGTTTAATCGGTACGTATTCAGTTATCTGTCAACAGGTAATTTAACATTTTTTAATTTTTTAGTGCGGAATGGTGCTACGTCTACGATATGATTTATAGTGATTCAGATGACCGAAATCGTGCTGTAGAAATAATTAAATTATGGAAATTGCGAGTACCTAAACTACCAAGTGGTGTTGAGGGCACACTAATAATTTTAGAGGCCCTGTTACAAAATACTGATATAGCTGACGATAACTTACGCCTCTTGTATGGAACATCTATAATGAGGTTCCTTTTACAACAAGAAACAGTGTAAATAGAGATATATTAATTATAGGATATTTCTAGATTTTTGAATATTTGTGGCGCATATACGGACAAGCAAGAGTCATTCTACAAGACTGCAAAGAAAAATAAATTACCAGATTGGTTAATTGATCTACGTAATGACTTAGCCCACGACCAGAAAATCCCATCAGAATGTGTTTTAAAATTAGGTTTAGAATATTGCTTAAATTGGTTAAAAACTACTTATTGGGATGAGCAAAAAGATATACTAATGGATTATACAGTTAGTGAAGAAAATTTAAATATTGAGAAGTTAAGAATTGCTGTTCCTCTTTACTGCAAATTAAATGATTTAAGACATTTATACCCTCAAAACAATACCATTGAGAAAGCAATGGGGCCAAATAATGAAATATNACCTTGCGTATGGGCCAGTTTAGATTTCTCCAGACCTCTTCCCCCTTTTTCCCGTTTTTACTACCCTTTAATTAAATCTAATTATACAAATACTCACATATGCATATGCGCATATATAATTGTGTTACCCTTTGTGTCTTTTGTTTCAGTTTCAATATCTCCGTTTCGAGTTTGAGAAAAAAAAGAAAAAACGACACGATTTCAAAGTCGAACGTGACATTGGTGAAGTCAGTTAGCAAGGGTTATGACTAATAATTCCCTGATTATGACCGACTGGAACTTAAACTATCCGGTGTCGAAATGCTTTTGTACAATTCTACTTTTGTTCGACACACGGACGATTCTGCACACATCAACGCACCTTTATTGTTTTACAGAAAAATGTACACTTCTCATTTCTTTTCAATGATTATTACACCTTACCAACAATAATACTAAAAACAATTACAGACTATCTGATTTATACAGGGTGTTTATAAAACAAGTGTTTAGCGGTCCGAAAGTCCACCGGGTTCGAGAAAAACGTATTTGAAACTATAGTCAAGAGCCAGTCCGACCCTGGCAGGATCACGCAGGGCGTCAAACTGGCACTCTACATATAGGATATCTCGAAATTTCGGGCCACCGATTCCCCCTTTCCCACTCCCTCATCCCTCCGAACTCATCTTCTCCTATATTCATCTTTTCCCTTTTCTCAATCTTTTCCGATGATCTCTTTCCTGAAGTTGAAGCGACAACTTTTTGGATTTAGCAAAACAAATTAGCGACAAATTATAGTGTAATTTACATTACATTTATCTATTTATTACCTAAATTTTTTAAAAATATAAACGAATTACATTTTAGAACGGATAACAGTTTATTTATGGAAGTCAATAAGACATGATGGAGATAGGTTAATAGAACAGCTTCTTATACATGAAAGGTTAGTTTAGGTACGTATTAGAAGCAAAAGGAATTAAAAGGGAAAGAGATACACCTAGATTAGATAATTGTAAATAGTTAGAGACATTGGTTGCTCTAGTTTTTAAGAGAAATGTGAAGATTGACTCAAGAAACTATGAAATGGAGGTTCGCGTCAACGAATCTTTGGACTCAAGAGTGAAGACCTTAAGATGATGATGAACATTTTCGTTGTCGTCTATGATTCTATTTATGTTTTATATACTAATTACTTATAATACGTAAACCTTTTATACTAAACTAGAAAACCGATAGGCCTAACAGGTACAATTTTTGTTACCTTCAGTTTTCTACCTGCAACCGTAACCAATCCATTGAAAATTTCCAAATTTAGGTGTTCTGTGTATAGGTACCTACGCTCTCTAAATTCCTGGAAGGTTCTAATAACTATTAGGTACTGTTCACGCTATTCAGAAATTATTGCAGACCTTTAGTCGAAGTGTGAATGTCAGAGATATTTTATTTTCATTTCTATAACTTTCTATTTTCATGAATCATTTTAGATTTCGGACATCTGTATGAAAACTTTGCAGATAAATTGAAAACTATGTTTAAAACAAAAAAAAACTTTGAGAATGTACAAACAGAGCTACTGACTCTGATAGGTGTCTCACATTTAAATTTCGACCCTCCATATTAAACCCCCCTTTCAATTGAAATTAAGGACAGTACACACAAGTATGTATTTAATAATGTTCATCCCTATTATAAAAAAAAATGATAATATCAATTGAACGTTACAGCAAAAATTTTTGAACCAAACCATCCAAAGTGGTGCAATTTTCAGTTGTTTAATTTTAATAAGTTTTCAGGACAAATTAGTACACTATGCACATTTAACCATTGATTGGTAAACAGAAGGGTTAAAATTTTTGTTCTAATGCCAAAATTCCATTGTAGTTTTCGTAGCGTGAGAATAAAATGTCTTGTAATCTTTGCCGACATAGCGACCCAACAATGCTTGACAAACCAATAACGGATTCACTAAACGTGCTCTTTAAATAAATACCTACAAAGCTGTGGTTACAACAGAATTCTAAGAACATGAAAAGTTCACTTCTATAACCTTTACAATTTACAAATAGACTGCAACAAACGTTTGACTTTACAGAACCATTTAAATCCAAAATTACATTTTCAAAATTGTTATCATAACTTAGGTACCTACTTAGACGTTATACAAGCATATGAAAAAATAGTACGTAGGCATTAAAAATATTACACTAAATTGAAATGTACGTATCTAATATTGCTCAGTTTTTGCTGTTCAAGTTCGTGAACTTTTTCGAAAAACAAATATTTAAAAAAAAAAAAACTGCATGTGTATTTCGGTTTCATGACACAATGTTTTACACTTGACAAATGAGAATAATGAACTCTGTGAGTACTGTATTTAATTCTTGAGCAATTAATAATGCAAGGCTCCAATTAAATGTTAATTTGTATGAAGAAAGCAACCTTAACACACTTTAATATTCGTTAAAAAAATGCAATACAAATTTCATTTCTGTTTCAACCATTTTTAAAATCGTTAAAAATTATTGTACCCAATTTTAATAACCGAATCAAGACCGTTTTATTGTACGAAAACTGCTATAATAAATATTATATAGCATCGATAGAGTGTGAACTTTCTATAACGAAAGTCTATTGAAAATGAAAGATATACCTAAGTACATAAAGATAGCAGATTGTGTAAAAATAAATACTTTAAACACTCACGGTCAGTTAAATTCATGTTTCAATCGATTATCTGTAAATTAGTATTATCTACATATTTATAATTTAAATTTCCTAAATTTTGGTAAAAGCTGCATCTAAATCGATTACGAAATAACCGAGTTACCCCTTTTTATAGTTTACCTAGTTTAATTAATTTATTCTTGTGGCGCTTATTATTGTTTACTTCCGCATTCGTCTGCAAATGCAGTGACATTGACCTAGTTTAGAGCCGATTACCAAAATGGCCGCCAACGTATTGGCCAATCAGATGCATTAAACCCTTTAAAACAACCAAACTTGCATACCTGAGTTAGTCACCCGCGATGCTGTTAAGAGGTGTACTTCGCTGCGTCAATTTTGCGGTTATTATTACGTAAAAACCCGCAATTATTAATCGCTATTTATTTCTCTTTCTTTATTATTTGAATTTAAAAAACAGTAAAAACGATCAATGAATGTTTATTGAATGAATTAACTGTAGAGGTCAATGTTTATAAACAACGCCCAATTAGGTGCATTATAAGGAAAGCAATAGCCGCAAATAACACCATTACAATTTACTGCCAAAAAACAAACAAAACAAAATAAACGAGATCAAAGTTCTCTGAACTTCGGGCGTTTTTCCGGTTTATCATTAGGATGGCCTTGCAAATTGAAATAATTGCTGATTATAGCCTAATATAAACTAATTATATTAATAGACAATAAATTGTTTATAAACTTTCTGGATTCAAACGAAAAAGGCAACGTTTTTGAAATATTATTAAAACAAATCGACTGATGTTTTAAAAATTAATTAGCTGTTAAATTTAAATTACCTGTGCTTCGTAAATATTTTAAAAATACAAAACAAATTTCCTCATAAATAAAATAAAACAATAAAGTAATAACAAAGCAGAATCAAATTATGAGCACACTGACGTTTCCCAAAAGTCCCTTCAGTTTTACAGAAAAACGGCTATAAAAATGGTAATTATCCTAAATACCTTTTACTTGCTGCGACACTCATTATCTGTTACAAATATTACGTAACAAGAAGTAGAGTAGCAAACAGGTGAAACGCTAACTAATCGTAAGTGATGATTACAATTGCATAAAAGTAAATAATAACTTATCGGCACTTTTAAAAATTTATCTTTCGATGTCTCTAATAAAAATCTCTATTAAATAAATAAATTAAAAAAAATACCGGACAAAAGGTACTGTTTAAGGGAATTTAAACATTATAAAACATCTCAGTGACAATTCTCATTAAACAAAAAGTAATCAAACATTAATATTTTTAATTTAATATATTTGTCGAGATATTTTTGTGTGAATAAGTAAAAAATCAAACATACCGAAAAACTCCTCCCAAGTATCTCCAACATCGTCAAATTCATTCATCATTATTGGTAAAGGTAGATTAATTAATCACTGAAAGTAATGTCTTAAATTCACATAACGAAGCATTTGCACTTATTTATTATGAGACGGAATCGCTCGCAAATTATGACAGTTCGTTGGTCTTGAATTTTTTATCAGATTATTATCATCGAGCGGCATGATCGAGAATTTTTAAAGAACCGGAGAGGCGCCACTAAAAGACATCCGCATACCGCAACAGCCGACGACAGAATGCCGATGAAAGAAATGTGCGCATACGGTCGACGCACGCATAGATCTTGGATACTTGCTTCTGTGTTGCGATCTATTATCTATTTACAACTAATAAAAAACAAATGCAACGTTTGTTTACGGAAATACAAAGTGCCGTTATTATTATTTATAATCGACGTAACCAGAAGGATATTTGTAATTTACATATTAGCTAAATAGGTACGGGTCTTCATTATTGAATGGTGTAATTTTGTCAACCCAGCTAATTAATGTGTTTTTATGTCTTCGTCGATACGGTTTATAGCAAAAATCAGCAGCTTCAGCGAGTAGGTTATTTGTAGACAAATTTACTGTTACGAACGATTGAATTATTTTTCAAGAAGTAGATGTAGAAATATTTGAAGATCACCCNCTAAAACCTGATTTAATTGAAAATTTGAAGACTTTGCAAGATGAAATTCTATCGAATCCTAATGAATACTCTTTAAACTTTGTAGAGACGTAAGTGCATAATTAAATCACTTGTACAAAAATAATTTAGTTTTTCTAGGTACTTAACTTTACTTCAACATCCTCAAGAATTTGTAAACGACACTTTGGCTGCAATCAGAAACTATACAATCCCTAAAACCAAATCAGAAGAAACTGGGCTACATTCCATTGAAGAATTTGAAGAATATATGGATGATATAACAGCTAGCGCTTTTTTAGACGATTTTATTCACGATATGTCCACACAAGGCACTGGAATCGAAAATAATAGTTCCAAAAAATGGGAATTAGTAAAAGGTATATATCATTCAAATTTTTTGCTATATTTTATCTACATTTTTTTTTGTTTTAGATACAAGTATCTTTGAGGGCTGCCCTTTAGGGGTTTTAACTTATCAAACTCGAGAAAATAATCCACTATTGACACTTTTGTAGTTCGTACATATATGCTTTACTTTAATAGAATAGGTAATTTTGTTAAAAGCATTTGCTTTCAATATTAAACATTTTGTACTGGAAGGGAATTAAAAACAAAGAATTGTTTTTTGTAATTTAAAAGGAAATTTTGTTTATTTTTATTATTTAAAACAGCATAGTAATATACGAAAATACAATAAAAAAGTTTTATTATTTATTTTTGATATCTACCCAATGACTACTTACTACAAAATCAACACTATATTATCTTATATTCATTATTTAATATTATATTACATGAATATTACTACGATTTTTAACAATCATTACTATACTTTTTTCATAACACTTTAACTTTCACTCCAGTTGTGAATCCTTCAATTACTTTTGCCATACACGCGATGTTTGCACAGAAAAATGAAACACTATTGAGCCATATATAAAGAAACATATTAAGACCCTGAAATTCAAGTAAATAGGCAGATAACAGCCATAACGCTTGAGCACCAATCCAAATCAAACCAAGTAGCAAAGATGTATTTCTGCTCAAACGAATTTGCCAAATACAAAGTGGCAAAATCGCTAAAATCCAGACGAAATATTGTGATGTTATGACTGAATTATATGTTACAAAGACGCAGGTAATCATAAGAATTGCAAAATTTAAGGACAGCTTATTTAAGCCAAATTTGAAAGAAAAAACGGCTATAAGAATAAATTGCGGCAAAGTTATCAACATCTTTTGCCAGAGATCGATTTTAACACCAGCTGTAAGATATTGCAAGTAAAAATACAAGGAGAAATTGTGACGCATGTCTTTCCTCAAGAAATGATAAATATAACTCTCATAAAGAAACTGATAACCATACAAGAAGTAAAACAAACTTGTTAATAACACCAAAGATAAAATACAGCCACTCATCAACTTTAATTGGTCAATATTTGGAAAAAAATAAAGAAGGTATTCCATTCTAAATATGGTTCTTTTGGTACTTCTATCAGTTTTTTGTACTTCTTTACTTTCCTTTGAAAGTGAATTTGGATTTTCTGAATAATCACTAAGAAATAAAAACAACGCTAAGCTATACATTAGAGGATAAATACGAACGTGTATTGCTAAACCATGAACTATGCCTGCCACAAAATACCATTTCTTACATTGTAGCAAATACAGCGTTAACAGAACTAGAAATCCAGCAATAGAGTCGCTGTTTCCCCTTGTGGCAATGCCTATTGTAATAGGATTATAAAGCCAAACTATCATTCCAAAATTTGATACTGATTCAATCTTGGAGTCATTTAAATTCCTTCCATAAGACATAACACAGTGTTTAATAATAAACTTAATTAAAATGCCAGCAAAAATATCAATTAATGAAAACAAAATTTTACCAAAGCATATATCAATTAACAAATTTGGTATTAATAGCCAGGAAAGTATGGGTGTATACCTGTAGGTATGCCGCTGATATGGAGACTCATTGTTAAGGACATATCTGGAAGCATCAGTGAACACTTTATAGTCAACATCAGTGTAGGGAACTTGTGAAATCCTATCGTGATAATTTCCATATAATATTAAAGCCAAGCGCAAGAAAAAGGCAAATATAATGTGTTGCCTAAAGCTTAGAAATGTTTCAGCAGTGTATACCATGTCCAATTCTTCCTTCTTTCAAATTCTTGTACCCATGCTAGCAGCAGATTTCTGAAGACACTTTTTAAATAAATTAAATTCTTCAGCACAGTTATTAACTTTGATTAAGTCTTTATTCACTACACACTTTGCATAAACAGAAGCCTCACTTTTGCAGGCAGCTAATAATGCAGGGTATTTTCTAAATCTACTTTTTGCCTTTTTAACTGATTCCATCATTTTCTGGAAGATATCTTTTTGGATAACTCTTCAATTTCTGGGTAGCTTGCAAAAAAAGCATCATAAATAGGACGAGAAAAAAATATAAGGAGTGCTGAAGTACATGTAACTCCTATGAACAATCGAGGATATCTATTAATCCATGACTTATTCTGTAAGGCTTTCCTATTATTGTACATGTTGTCTACTTATTATCGGATTTAAAGGATGACTTGAATCCGTCACATACCAAACTCTTTTCACCCCACTTGATGCAACACTGACGTAGCTCCTCTATAACGTGTTCGCATGCAGAATGTTGGAAATTATGTTCTACAAAATAAAGATACAGTAAAAGTTGCATAACTATAGGTTAGGTTCAAAAAATTTTCCATACCATTCAAACATTGCTGAATCATACACGCAAAAACTTTACAAGGATCTTTGGGTTTCATATGGTTTCTTCTCTGCTAAAACTATCACTTATATTCAATATTAAAATCAACTAATGCCGATAATTCAATCAAATCAAGATTTCAATATATGAGACATAACTGTCATGTCCAACCATAATAACATCTATGACTATCATAGATAAGAGATACATAGATAGGAGGTCCATTGAAATGCTTGGCAACCTCAGATTCATACATATTAACAGAGATTAGTGCAGGATTGCAACTGTTGAAAAATGCATCAATATTACTACATAAAAATAGCGCCAAACTTTAAAATTGTAATAGCAATATTCAAATTATAAATGACTACCTATATTAATGACAATCATTTTAGGATTTCATTTCTACCGAATATGTCTTTATCTCCTTTTACCATTTCACTATAATATATGCAAGACCTTTAATTTTGTAATTGTTTTTTTAGAAAGGTCCTTTGTCTTTTTAAGTAGTAACAAAAAAGCATTAGTTTAACTGATATTTTATTATACAAGTTGATTATTCAAGCAAAGTATTTAAAAAATAGATATTTTACAAGCTAATATACAAAAAGAAAGACAAAATTATAAACTGAGACGGTGCAATAATTGTTTCATTTTTNCGTAAACGATAATATAATTAATTAACAATTCAAAAGCGGTAAAGAAAAAAAATAAAAATAAAATCATTGAGTATTCTTTTTGATTAGGAAAAAGCACAGAAACTTTGTCTAGCACCAGAAAACGAGTTTTAAACTGCTTATTTAGTATTTTTGCAGTTATTGAAGACAAAAAAGTTAATTGAAATACAGGGTGGGTGATTCATGTATAAAGAAAAACTTTAAATGGACGAGTTAAAATTACTAATTAATTAATTGTTTGTCCACCAGCACCTGCAGAACTAAGTAAATAAAAATGACAATTGGGTAAAAGCTTTAAAAAATAATTCGTGCTTGTCTTTGGTAAATTAGCAAGAAAAAATTACTGCTCAGTAGTACAAGTGAATTAATTTTAGAATTACAATTAGCAAAATTTAAAAACATAATAAATCGGCCCTCCGCAGGATATTTCCCTATACTCTTTCTCATATAATTAAAAGCTTAACATGTACGTGGATCACCCGGTATAAATCGCTTAAAAAGTACAACACCGTTATATTAACAGATATTGTTAAGACAGATAACGTTATTAAATACCTACACATAGAGCAGTTAGTGCAATATTTTGTCCATCCAAGCCTCCCTTAGTCTGGTTCTAGCAGGACTTAGTTCATACGGACTGGGAGTAGGAGGACTGAAGCCTTCGTCAGCAGAGAGGGTTAAATCTTCGTCCTCTGAGCTAATTAATTGTTCTAATGCTGCAGTGCCATGGAAGCTCTGTAAAAATACAAGCGTATTAATGTGTCCGAGTTCACAAATTAAATAAACCCAAAATAAGTACCATCAAATTAAAACAGATCCCACTCAACACAAAAAAAATATGGAAAAATAAAACATACTGGATTGTAGTAAGGTATAATAATGATATACTAGCGTAAGAACCCCCCCCCCTTCCAGGGATAAATTAGAGGTATGGAAAAAAAGATGAAGGGATAAATAAGAAATTATACAAGACGACATAATAAAATTTCAACATATTTTACCTATTAATTAAAAAAAAAGGAAAACAATGAAAATCTATTTAACATTTGGAATTAAGATATTGTATGAAACACACAAAAATGAGAAAAATGAGTTATGAAACTAATAAATATACATTTCAAATTAAATCATTTAAAAAAAGCACAAAAACTTTGGTCTTGCCAGAAGTTAAATAAATCCCTTATTACTACATATCCCGGATAAATGAATACTAATCTATAATTATGATGCTTATGAATGGAAATCTGAAAATGAGTAAAACTGAAAACTACTTTTCCAATTTAGTATAGTAATAATTAAAAGTTAAATGAATGCATGAAACAAATAATTACATTCTGGCGATAACTTGTGTTAGTATCAAGACATAAAACACACACAATCAAGAAACTGTAACGAAAAACAAAAAACAAAACCAAAAAGCTGTAGCCTTTTACACACTTTCTACTTATCCAAAATTGATTAAAAAATCACCTTTTCTTTAAGGGTTCAAGTTGAGAATCAAACTTCGCACTCACATCTATAAACAACATCAAAATAAATGTAGAAAAAACATTGCTTTGCACTTTTCTTGAAATTTTATTCGTAAAAAAATATTATTACTCTAATATAAAAATTATATAAGAGATAATTTTGAGTAATAAAAAAAGAATTTATATTTAATATGACATTAGCTTACCTGAGAACGATGGACAGAACTAGAATGAGATGGTGAGCTATCACAGTCTTGACTTGATTCAATGTAAGATTGGACCATTATGTTTTGCGCTTGCTTTTTCGCCATCTCTGCTTTCTTCTTACCTTCTGCTGCAGCCTTCATGGGATCGTAACTCTTTCTTCGCTTCCAATTTTGAAATTCTACCTCCCTACTGGACAATGTGGAATTACTTCTGCCTCCAGACTGTTTTTTATCTGTAACAATTTATTTATTAAAATTTACCTTTCTACCATTCATTAAAAGTGTGTTTGAATTGGAAAATATTAGAATTTCCACATATCTATGTAAAAATTAAAAAACTTTATTATCGTGAATTATATTAGGCTTTTGGTTGCTGGTTGCATTAAAATCAAGCTCAGGCTTTCTTTTCTGTTCGAAAACAACTTAATTTGAAAAATAAACACATTATGTACGGTAATAAAGCGTAACCTCCATTGTTTGCCCAAATCTGTGCTAAATTATGTGGGCCAAGGCGCAACAGGTCGACATGATTCATCCCAAAGTGCGCGTTAATTTAATTTTCGCAGAATAAAAATAGCGCTGCCGTAGAGCTTTTCTTATTTCAATGCAAATTTGAAGACTAACATTACAAATGATATTACGATTGTTATCAAGGTAATATCGATGACTCAAGACATGAGATTATACTGCTTTGAGCATCCTTTTTAAGAAGATGTAACATAATAACAGATCTGTGCGCCGCATTTTAATAAGTACCTATCCAACGTGTTCATCTAAATAAATTACAATGAATGTTTAATGAAAAATAAACGTATGCAACTTATACTCGTGAAACCCCAATAAAATGTTATTTTTAACAGAGTACAAATTTAAATTAAGTATTACTATAAGCCAAAATGATTTTGTATTTATTATTCTTGGAATGTTTCCAAAGTTATAATTAATACCATGGTATTTTCTAAATAGCTTTTAAAACAATTCGAGTGATTACTGATTAAATTAAGTAAGGCTCCAAATTGTATTACTAGTTGATTTCAAATATTACTCAATATATAAATGATTTAATTACTAGTTTACATCTTAAAAATGTCCAAATTTTCATTATTTATCATATTTTTATAATTATCAAAGGGTCTTACTTGTTTGATCTTTTCGTTGGTTCTTTGGGAAACCAGGGATTGATGATTTAGTTGATCGCATGCTAAATCTTCCTGAATCCGTTCGCGCAAAAACTTGAGGTTTGTTAACATTAGCAGTAATGTGTTGATACTTTGGCACATTTTTAGAGATTTCGATTTTGGGTGGTGTGGCGCTCTTATTCCTAGTGATATTTTGAAGGTATCGACTTTGAACATCATTCGTTTTAACAGGTCTACGATCGACCGATATTGCACGTTCCATTCTCAAATGATCGTTGGTCTGGAATTTGCGTCTCATTTCGGGGGTATTGGGGCATTTTTGAGAAGGTGAAGGTTCGGTATCCAATCGCGCCCTTCTCAAACTGAAGGCGCGATTGTACCTGGTGTTAGTTAAATTCGATAAGTCCTTTTTCTTTAGAAGGTTTTTATCAAAATCTTCTTCAGAACTAGACTCTGTATCTCCAAACTGATTCCTGTCGATTTTTTCATGTTCTGATCCAGCACTAGACCTTCGAGACTGCAAAATATTAGGTCTAATATTCGCAGTAGATGCTGAGCGTTGTATCGAACTATTTCTTGTTAACGAAGGGGAATTTTTTAAGTTGATGTCTTTGGTTAAGTTTGAGACTTTTGGTTGAGGCGGGACTTTGTTTTTGTTAGAGAAACTACTGGATCTTCGTAATGGGCTATTATTGGGGGAATTTTGTACTTTTATTACCGCCCTATTTTGTAGTTTGTTTCCGAATGTTTGATCAATACTTTGTAGATTCTTGTTCTGAAAATGTTCCAGCTTATTGGAAAAGGTCAAGTTTCTATCGTCAAAAGAATTATGCCGTATGTGTTTGGACTTTTGTTTCAATAAATTTCTGGTGTTGTTGTTCAGTCTGATGTTGCATTTGCTGTCGAAGTCGCTCTCCTGATCGCTATCCAAGGAGAGTTTTTTCTGGAGGGAATTTATGATACTTTGGGTCGGTTTGAGATAAGATTCAGTCTCTAGACTACTGTCTGATAAATCTATGTTTGCTGAGCTGATGCTGTTTCTACTTCGAGGTCTTGCCGTGTGTACAGGAGAAGGTATTTTTGTGGGAGAAGTCTTCCCACCTATCGCTGGAGGTAAATTATTTATTTTACCCAATGTTAGTGTAGCATTAACTAGATCATAGTCTGCAAAGTCATCGTTCTGTCGTTCTGCACTTAGTTTGGAAATGTTTGGCACTTTATTTTCCATGATATTATTATTGCTAGTAGATTCCTTATGATTGAGACTGATAGTTGCATGAATGATATTGTCTCCTGACTGACCACGCGAATTGGACGACGTGTAAGTTTCTACGTGAATTTCCGACTTTGTTAGGCTGGGCTGTCGATGGTGACCCTTTACCTGAGCTTCTCCCTTACGGCTGAAGGCTCCGCTAGAAGTAACCGACGTGAAACTGCCCTGATCCGCTATATCTTCTAATAAACCTATTCCAGTCTTTGATTTTGGACTAGGGAACATTATTTTCGTGTACGTCTGGTTAAGAGCATCGTCGATGTCTGTATTTTCGATGCCCGCCTCGATCTTCCCCTCTGTAATTGACAAATTTTGTGTGGGTGATAGTATCGGTGAAAGTTTTGTCTTTGGTTCTCTGTTTTCATTACAAGTTTTGTAGATAAAAGTCTTGTAAGATTGATTAATAGCTAAGGGTGATGTGGGAACACTTGGCGACTTTGGAGAAGGTAATAAGCGATCTACATTTTTATTATATAATTTTGTAGCAATAGGCTCCACATCCAGTTTCTGTGGTCTACTATTTTTATCTGTATCTTCATCCATACTGGCTAGATTACGAACATATTCTTCAGTTTTCTTCATAACAGAAACCTGTTCAATGTTGAATTCCTTGTCTATGCTCATTCTGGCCTTTTGTTCTTCTGTATAATTATCGTTGTCTACAGTATAAGTACCTGCATCACTTACAGAATCAGACTTGTCAAAATCAAATTCACTACCATCTATAAATTCACTGCTTGCATTTTTTTGTGGTTTGCATTCTGGACTTGAGTGCTGTCGAGTAATTTTGATTCTTTCTACTGTAGGATTTGGTGAGGACATTTGTTTAAGAACCACCTTTGCTTTAGGACTAAATGGACTTATTGGGTCAAGTTCAGGACTTGAAATGTCCTTGAGCTCTATATCAGGACTTCTAATTGTTGAAAGATTGAATTTCACATTAGGAAATGACTGAGTCATTTTATCATTAAGGATATTCTTCAGTGGAAGAGTGAGATCACCTTTAGACTTGGTCATACTGTGAGGAGAAGCCCTGCTGGTCCTAACCTTTTCACCCCGTTCATCTGAAGAATAATAACCTTCAGATTGTGTACTAGATTTTCGAGTTAAACTGGAAACATTTGCATTCTTCTTTTGTGTTGAAGGTTCGTCTATTTTAGACAAAGATTGTCCTCTTCTATGTCTGTTTTGATACTTTTCAACTAATGCTTTATGCCTTTGAGTGTCGACACTTTTTCCTTCTCCAAAGTCTATTGTAAAAGCCAAGGGTTTAGGAGATTCTTCTACTTTAGATTCGTTAGATGTAGAAGGAGATTCGTTATTATTTTCGGTTTCCTTCTCCATGACTCAGGATTAAAATACTCAAACCTAAAAATACAAACAAAAAGATTTTACAAATAAAATAAGTCATACAATCGATTTAAACGATTATAGAAACGCGGATACTTACATAGAAAATTATCAAATACTGATCCGCTAATTAACAAAGGGAATAACAGTTTATTTTTAACACTTAAACGAATTAACGAAATCCATTTATTTGACTTTGACATTATTCGTTGAGCATCTTCCATCTGCTGTGAAAGGTGCGAACTGCGAGCCGAATAAAACACTAATGACGCTACACTAATGAACAGTAAAGTATGCTCTCATAGTTTATACCAATCTCTAATAACAAGTCAGAATAATTTATGCAATTGAAATATATTTGTATAATTAAAATACGTAATATAAATTATATACAAAATTGTACCTATGAACTTCGTAAACGCACTGTACGCACGCTTCCTAATTAATAATTGAGCAGCATAATTTAGTTATTTAAATACAAATCAACACTTTATTTCCCAAATTTCGAAAGAACAATCAATGTTCAAAGTTGTTTATTACAATTTTCTTTTTAAACAAGGTCAAGAACCTGTTATCTTTTATAAAATAATCTATTAGGAATTGAGAGCACAAACTGTTCTTATAACAGTTTATAATTACACTACAACGTCGTTGGAAAATGTAATTTAAATATAAACAACTGTTAATAAAAGACTAAATAAAGATTAGTAATTCAGTTTTTACTTTCAAATGTAAAAATGAGAGTGACCTTGTTTTTTTTGCAGTAGTTTAGTGTATTTTGTACACATGTGCATTTATATGAAGTAGAAAGTTTGTTTTACAATAAGTAAATGTTGAAACAAAAGTACATTGAGCTTAATAAACCAGCTAAAAGAACGAATCTTTTTATGCAATTTCTATAAATTAAAACCTTTTATTAATTTACATTTCAACAAATTTTATGAGTACCAAAAATCACCAATAATTATAATAAATTAATTGTTTTGTTTCTGCTAGATTTAGGTACTTTTTTCGGCAATAATTAACCATATTATATATGATGAGAAGTAAATATTTAATTAAATGTTATGTATTTAGAAAGCGAAACAGTTTCTGGTAATCTTATTGCACAAAAAGTAGTCAAACGAAAATAGGTTTTGAAATCATTTAGCGTAAAATGTTTATTACACACTATTTGTATTGTAAAGAGGTCTGTAAATTTTGTAAGTAACAATAAAATGAACCGCCAATAGTTAAAGGAAATTGAGTTCTACTTTAACTTTATATTGTAATTACGGAAATTTAAATTAGGTACCTTAAATCATTATTATTGTAATTTTTAAACGAATTTATTAGCTTTGGGACATTTTAAATCATTCATTAATATCAAAACAGTGTGATTATAATAAACGAAATGATAATTACGTAGTTTTATCCCAAAGCGATGTGCACCCTCCGGTAGCACCGCGGTTGACTGATTCGGGTATACAGGTGTAATTGTTATAAACTGTCTTCACGCATCTGATTGGTTATTACGTTGGCGGCCATCATGCCGATCGGTAAAAGTAGGTCAAGTTCAACGCACCTGCACTGAGGAATGCAGATGTAAACAATAAAATAAGCGCCACTCGTAATGAAATAAAATAGGGAAAATTTAAAAAGGTGTAATGCAGTTATTTATTAACCGATTTAGATGCAGTTTTCACTAAAATTGAAGACATTAAGCAATGTTTAACATTGACGAGAAAAAAATAATCTTAATTTTAACACTCGATTAAGGAAGTGTTTTACAGTTTATTCTAAGTTTATATTCCCTAAAAATAAAGATAACATAATAATATGAATGTACGAAACCGTTTCATATAAATTACTGACGAAGTGAATTAATTTAAATTGTTTTAAAAGTATGTATATATGATTTGCTTACCTTTTAATTAATTCCTTCATTTATTTTACCCTTTTACCTATAATAAAAGTAAACGATAAAATAAAAAGTGTTTTATTTTGTTAAAATTAATTACAAAAAGTACTTATTTCAACTTCAATTAGCATTGAATATAACACCATCAACATGTCAGCTGCTTTTATAATAATATATGTATAATATAATCCTATGGAAAGCCTTTAAAATTTCAGTTTGTTTTTCTTTTGTAACATTCATAAACATTGTTAAATATATTATACAACTCGTGAAAAACTCTTAATTTGAATGCTGATATTAAACTGATATTTCTATTGTTACTTATTTTGTACAATGGATTCGTATTGTAGATTCAAATGTTTTAAAAAGCAGGGGATTCACCTCGCATAAATAAACAGGATTTCCAATAAAGGTGTAGTTTTTGAAAAATTAAGATCTGCACGTTTACTGCTTTTGCCAAAAACATTAAATTACTGTAAAAATTTTGGCGATTAATAAAATCGTAGCTTTAATGCCTTTTTTTAAGCATTTTAATACAATAACATACACTTTAACAACAATTACAATTTCAGTGTTACAGGCACTTTTTTACCGAAATATTATTATTTGTAACTTATGTATCTATATATTACTTTGTTAATTATTTTTTTTTTTTGAAAGGTGTGAAAAGCACAACATTATAAAACGCATTAAGTAGCACATATTAAGTGGCATTACATGAAAATGTTGTTTAAATGTTAAAATAATAAGTTTCGTATTAAACAGAAGAAAAAATCAGCAACCTATTTTTATAACAACTTTCCTCTACTGCTACTTCAGTAATAATAAAAGGTATTTTGCATGTCAATACTTATAAAAAAAAAATTAATAAGAGCAGAAAACAAATGTGCAGGTAGGTTGTTATTTACCATTAGAATGTTAAGATTTTAATTACAGTTACTGGAGTAGCAAAAAAATTATGTAAAATCGCCAGGCACCTAAACGAACAGGGTTAAAACAAGAGTAAAGTGCAAGTCTTTTACATATATCACAATTGCAACTCGATCTCTTAGCAATAGAAGACGCGCCAACGTAAAAATCTTCGCTAATATCGTAGAAATAAAAATGTATCAAATTAACAAAAATAAAAATTTAAAATTTACAATAATAGATAATAATAAATTAACATCAACAGTATTAAAGCGTTAATATCGAGATTTCCGTGCGCAATATAAAAATAAGTTAAAATAAAAACAACAAAACAACAATAAAGAAATATTTTTCTTTTCTTTTTGTTTGCTTTTTGGAGTAAATGGTACAACCAGGGTACCTACAACTCACCATGTCAACTCGCGCGATTGTACTTTTGTTTTTAATCATTCGGGCAAAAAAATATATTTTTGTTTTATTGTTTATTTATTAAGAGTTAGATTATTATTACTGTTATTATGTGCCTCTTCTCTTAAAGCCGTTTCAAATTTTTATCAGTGAGTGGATTTTTTATGTAAGATCTGAAATAGAAAAATTATTGTGTGTTAATTAAAAACATAATAAAATACAGTTTGTTTGTTGCTCGTCAAGCATTAAACAGAAACACAACACTTTACACAACAAACATTAGCTCTTCTACAACACAATACCTATTAAAGCATTTACAAAAACATTCTGTAAAGGTTTCAGTAGAATTATTGAGAAAAAAGAAAGTTGTTAGAGATATTTCTAAAACTGTTTCTTTAAAAAGATGAAAAAATAGGAAGTCCCACTACAATACTGTTGTCCTACTAATTTTATGTTAGATTCTAATATGTTTAATCAGATAATGTGATCAGATAAAATAAATATTTTGTTTTTAATTAAATTTTTCTGGTTAAAACAAAAGGACAACAAATGGACTGAAAAACTGATTATTTAATGAAAATGTAGAGTAGTTTTGGACAAATATGAATCATCTATCTACATACGAAATTTAGATGAACAAATTTTATCAGTTTTAACAGAAGGTAAAATCATACTTAGATAAACAAGGGGCCAAAATTTGGCCCTATCTTTTGAACGAAGATTTTCGTTAAGAATTCCTCTAATTTTTGAGCGTTTATCAAATTTACTATTACATTTTTTTAAGCCAGCTACCTAACAATCCAAAAACTACCATGCATTCAATTTCTAAAACAATACTGCACTTAAATAAAATAAAAATAAAAAAGTTTTCAACAGATTAGTTACAAAACCAAAAAACAAATGGTAAAATAAAAGTTCACAGACAATAAATATAATCAGAGAGCTGGTTTCATTGTCAATCGCATCATCTTACCCCACATATGTAATTATTCGCTCAAAACAGGGAGGAGGGACCCATAATAAAAAGAAATTAAAGTTAGAAAGAAGTGAAATACCACATTTTTCTAAGTACACAGAATCATGCTACTAATTGTATGAATTCTACAGACTAGTGACTACCAAGTTGTTGTTTTACGTTTAGTGCCAAATTATTGTGTGGTTTTGTGTTCATATATAAAATTCCCAAACTTATTGTGTGATTGCAACGGTAAGTAACAGTAAATACTTAACATATTGTAGTTATCGTCACAGTATCTCGCTTCTTTTTGCTTTTTGTTACTTTAAGGCTAATCATGTATAACTCATTTCAAACGGTTAGAGATGTACCCCTTCCCTTTACCCGGATGCGCAGTGACAAAATTAATACTACTTCTGTCTTGCTCACACCTAGTGTGCATTCTTTCAATTCGCGCAGCTTTCCTCAAGGTCACATCTCTAACCGTTTGAAAAGAGTCGTATGTCTTTTAACGATAAAATATAATCATTCTAACATCACTATAGAAAAACAGTAACAAATAAATTGGTAATAGATCGTATTACCGTCATGACAGCATTTTTTTTAATAATTATAGATACCTACATATTATGTTTTGAATTCATTTATAATTAACCAAAGATATTATACTTACAATTCAATATTATGTATTGTGGACGTTGGACAATTATCGTTCACTTTTACATGGCAGTGTTTATGACACTTAAGAAGACAGTCTCTACATTCATACCCTTGCTTGCCGATTCTTCTTGGTACACTCTTACTACACACTTGGCAAATTGTACCACTAAAAAGAGCAAAAATAATAACGTTTAATAATTTCACTGATTGGGAAGACCTAAACAATCTAACACGAAAAAGACAGAAAATAGAAAACAGTCTTGGGGAGCAGCCCAACAAGAAGAAGTTTTTTTAAGGTCACTCAAAAGTGTGAGGCATATTTATATCACGAAGAAGACTACCGAGTTCCATATGGAGCGACCTATAGGAGGATAATAGTAGGCACCATCTTGTGGTGGATTGAGTTACACTTAAAATGTCAGACACATAATTCTGTGATTTTGCAGGGGTCATAAAGCAATCTGCGGAGATGGAAAAAGGAAGACTTGTTTCTACCCTTACATGTGCCACCATTTTACTGTAGTATCTCATATGTTCTACTTGTAGTGTTTAGTACCGCACCCCTCAAGATGAGGATCGTGTGGGAAGTAATGGGTGATATGAAAACGTATGTCGTTCCTTCCTGTTTACAGGCCAATCTCGGTAGTCTCCTTTTCCAATAATATCTGTAAATTTGCGGTTTTGTCACAGAACAAACTAATATAAATTAAATTTCAATGTCATTTGCTGAAGTGGACCACCCATTTTGAAAAATTCTGTTTGTCTTTTATACAAGTAAAATTCTTACCCCGAAAGATGCCTTGCTATAAAGGTGTGATCGTTGAAAATGTGTAATTTGGTGCCCTTCTTTTTAATCTTGGACTTCTGCGCTAAAGACAGCGGTACCAAGTAATGTTTTTTGATGCCATTTTCGACAGTTTCAAGCACCAAGGTACTGGCTTCATTGAGATAGGTCCTCGTCGATGCACTACTAAGTCCTGACGCTTCAGATAAACTAGATCTTCTCGAGTTCTCTTCATACCTGCCCCCTGGAACGTTAAGTCTGTAACCTGCAGAAGTATATTACAAATAGATGATAGAAAAAAGACGGCTACCTGATGGTAACACACTCAACAAATGAAAAATTTAGTAATTTTTATTGTGAATCCACGCAATAATATAAATCGCATAACAGCTAATAAATAAAAATAATTTTGATCGATGTTTTCGATATTTGTTGAGGTGTTAACCACTTTTACATTTAACGGTGTGTATTCTGTAAGAAAAATTATTGAAAAATAAATGAAATTACCTTTTCGCTTCCAAATGTTAAAGCAGCAACATAAATTATAAAACGTCTACGATTATTCTGATTGAAAAAATAAAAGTAATAATAAATAGTAAGTAAGTAAATAGGTACATGATAGACTACTACAAACGATAAATCTACGAGCTAACGGGCAGTTTATTACTATGATTGCTAATAGATTATCTATTATGTGAAAGTTAATGAATGAGAAAATTATGAAATCACAAAATTGAATTTATTTTAACAAACACAATATAGACATATATGAGTATAATTGGAAAAGTTTCCCTTATTCTTTCATTTATTACGTAGCCGTAATTTAGAATGACATGATCCTTGACCTTGGGATTAAGCAGTAACAAAACCTATACCTATTATTTTCTAATAATTTCATTAACTTTCACTAGGTAGCGATTAAATTGAATTTGAAGCTAATATGACGGTGAGTATAGGCTCAAAGTAAAATTTGGACGAAAATCAAATTGAAATTTGAAATAGATACTTACTGTCGTCGCTGCCACGTTTTCTGTCGGCCGAAACGGATCTGTTTAAAGAATCGTCCCTGTAATTGTCATTTTCAGATGGTCCGGCTGACTTGGACCGGGTTTTCGATTTATTAAGACGCCTTTTGATTGTACTGAAGAAGTCTCGGCGTCTTCGCGGACGGCCCCGAATTTCGGTATTGTCGGATAATGGTTGATTTAAATTACCATACTCTGTCGGCTAATAAGTAATAACCAACTTAAAGCAATTATTTAAATCATTAATCCCTAGAAGTTCATCAACGAAAGGGCCACAAACGAAAATTTTGCGAGGGAATATTAATGCGGAAGTTCCGCAGTCCCTGGTTTTATCAACTACCTCATTTCAAGGTCATTTAAGTATGTAAAAAATGAAAACAATTGACTCAACTTATTATTTAGTTCTAATTTCTGAAATTGTAAATTGGATAAAAAGTTCTTTAGAACAATGTTGTGTGCAATTATTTTTTATCTATTTAGAGTTTAAAAAGTTTCCTAAATATGTCGAAACTATTGTTAAAATGGATTTACAACTAATTTATGTGCACATATTTATATCTCTATGCGATAAAAAGTGCATAAACAATGCAGCTTACGCATTTACTTACTGGAATTATGCACTTTAAATGAAATAATTTTACTGTTGTTTAATTCTTAAAATCAATTATTTTCTGAAAGATATTATTATCAATTAAACACATAAGCATTAAAATAATCATCATGCGTTATTTTATTATTACATAAAAATTATTGGTATTAGTAAAAAAATCAATTCTTTCTACCTTCCCATCGGTATCCTGTTTGCCATTTTCTTTTACTTCCTTGTTTTCTTTTTTGTCTTCTCCTGCTATCACTTTACCATTTGCATTATCTTCGGTGAGTAAATTACCATTTTTTTCATCTTTTGTCACTTTTCCATTTGCCATTTCCTCTTTCGGACTATTTTCGAGTTTCGATTCGTCGTCAATTTCAATCCGTTCGATTTCCTTCCAATCGCCGTCAAGGCCTTGTTGAACCTGATTAGTAGTTAGTAATAATTAACAAAATACGCACACACAATCACACGCAAATAGTGATATTATCAACATTTGTTAGCGTTTGTTTAATGTGAAAAAGAAAACTTGAATATTTGCCAATTGTGAAGCAAATGTTTTTGTGTTACACTTTTACATCAACTTACCCGCACAAGTCTTTGGGAAGGTTGCTGTAACAATAACCTACACGTTATTTATTTAAATATTTTATTTTTTATTTTGACATACCCTCTGTACGCTATGGATTGTTAAAGTATTTTTGTCAAAACTTCTCTCTTGGTTTTGATTTTCACCGTAATGGTCCCCATTCACCATTACATCTGTAAAAAGATTTTTTATTTATTTATTTGAAAAGTTGACACTTGAAGAGAGAAGGTTGGATGGTGCATATCATTGGTAGTAACATTAAAATTCACTTTTTTACTCTTCCTATCGTTTTTTTTCCTCAAAAAAACTTACTATTCTGTAACGGTAGACTGTTATTTCTTCGTGTTGGGCTAAGTGAAGGGCTTATGTTCTCTTTGATTTTGTAAGGTTGGCCATCACCTACACTTGGTAAATCTGCACCTTCAATGAATGAAAACTGCGAAAAAAAATATATTTCTTTAATTACAACAATTCGATTTGGGGTACACGAGTATTTAGAGTACCTCTACAGTGAGGGTACCAGAAACTGGATCAGTTTCATAAGGCCTGCTTTGCAGAGTGATAATTTGCCTTTGTGAAGGATTTGCTAAGAGTTCTTCAACACCTACAATACCGAGACCCAAAAACCGATGCGGCTTAGCAGCTCTGTCGTATATTTCAAAGAGAAACTCTGCAGTGTTGGGTGACAGGTCGCTAGAAATAAAATTACTCATTACATCGAAACATTAAAGACTTCTTAGAGCAAATAAAGGGTAAGGAGGGCTAAGCTGTGCCACAAACGTTTTTTGATGAGTAACATCAACAGCAGCAAAATTAGACGACGATCTTACATAAAACAATGGCATGGATTCATTGTAGTCCTTTTCCCTAGATGTTCTGCCATTGTAGTAAAGTGACAATAATTATATTCAATGATGAAGTAGCTGGGAAAATTTGGAACGCAAAAATTTCGTACACCAAAGCGTAATTGTGCAATTAGGGCCAACTAATAGGTCAATAATTATTACAATCATATTACTGTACATTTGCTATAAAAAATAATCAACTTACAAAAGAAAGTGTTCGTCCCAAAAAGGTGAGTCGGTATTTTTTTGAACAGATGTCTGATTTCTTTGCGGTGGTTCGTCCATTTCAACAACACAATAAGGTTCTGCACAACCTTGGTTAGCACCCAGCTGACTAGCACGGACTATTTTCACAACCAAACGTTTGTTCCCTTGTATGGTGTAGTTAGGGGTGTGGTGATTGGGGGTTGATGTTACCGCATTCATCTGAGAACGTCACGTATAATAATGTAATGGTTTTGAACTGGCCCTATCACTTACTATTAACAACTTACCATGCTGTCATAATGAACTGGAAGATTGGGTCCTGGTGTACCAACATGGCGAACCAGCCTCGGACATGTTGGGTACTGTCCAAGGTTTAAATGCAACTCTGCGTTACGAAGAGCATTTGTTACTATCTCGCTAGAAATATAAAGATCTGCAATTGTACCTCTAAGTAAATCTATGAAACTCAATTAATATAAAAATTCTAGAAAGATGAGTCAATGCCACATTGGATCATCATCCTATATCCTGAGCTAATCTTTGCATTTCCTTAAAACTAGAACAGCCCACATCCTTAACTATTTGCGAACAGTAATCTAATCTAGGTCTACCTCTACCCCTCCTAATATGTCTCTGGCTAGACCTTCATGGCTGAGAAGGTGTCCTACCAACCTATCTCGCCTATTTCTTAGATTTCCGTAGAGTTCTCCTATTCTTTCTAATAACTCTTCATTTCTAACCTTCTCTATCCACGCTATGCACATCATTCATCTGCCCCTGTATATCTATCCCTACAGTTGTAGTGTCTCTAATGATGTTGATCACTTCTTCGATGTGTAAATTAAAAAGTAGCGTTAACAATGTGCATCCCTGTCTGACTCCCTTTCTAATGTTTACTTCTCTACGTTGCAGCCCCTGCTCTACAACTGCCTGTTGCTCTTTACATAAACTAAGTATCACTCTTCTATCTTTGTAACCCATCCGTACATTTTTAAGTATATTTGACATCTTGACCTATTTAACATTGTCAAAAGCTTTTTCTAAATTTACAAATCCTATGTACGCACTCTTTCTTTTGTCTATCGTTTTCTCTATTGTTACCCGTAAAACAAGAATGGCCTTCCGCGTTCCTCTATTTCTTCTAAGTCCAAATTGATCATCCAATTTTGGATTTTAAAAAGACTTAATATAAACCTTTAGGTAAAGGTCTTCTTCTTAGCAAAGACGGCTGATTGAGAGACGATAACGATCTAGGCATATAAGTTACTCACCTGATTACCTCTTGTAAATGAGTTTCGTCGAGATTGTTCTTGATGTTTCCGACGGGAGCGAGAGCGACTTTTATGTCCGGCCATCCGTCACATTTGATGTCAACTTTTAGTTTTTCCGTAACGGCATATATGTTTAATCGTGCACGAAAACGATTCACGTTCACACGATAATGGGAAATGTCGACTTTGTCTCCCTTCTGTCGGAAACATTTCAGTTGAAACGCAGGGGTGGCTTCACAGTCGCAAGTTAATGTCTACAAAATCAAGAAAACGTATTGGTATTTACCTACTTGCTGATATAGAAATACTCAGAAATAGGGGGCTATAATAAAGAACCCTAAGTTCTGGGTCAATTTATTGAAAATACTACATGTGGATCATGATTTCGAATATATAGGGTTGTTCGAAAAGTCATTTCGTTTTTTTTTGTGGAAATGAAAGACAGTTTTCGTATAACAAACAAATACTTTATTAAATTATATATTGACCGTTCTGGTCCAACACCTTTTGCCAGTAGTAGCATAATTCCACGCTCATAAAATTTTTGGTCTTTGCTGGCAAAAAACTGATCGAGGAGGTTTTTGACCTCCTCATTTGAGGTGAAGGTTTTACCGTCTAAAAAATTTTGGAGTGACCGGAAC